ACCCTACGGTCTCATGGACTTAATAGACACATGAAATAAGTACACAAGTTTGAAAGTTATATGAAGTGTGCCAAGACAGAATATTTGCCTGATCTGATTAGAAAAATAGTTGGTGTGTGTGTGTGTGTGTGTGAGGCGTGATTGAACAATGTAGACATAAAAACATACTCCGTCCTTTTGTTCATACAGGACATTATTCAAACTGCAAAGTGTTTACTTATATTTGTGTACAATCGCAATAAAACACAACATTGTGCTTTTGTCAAACTGTACTGCTAAACTACAACTGTCACCCAACCAAAATCTCTTACACACACACACACACACACACACACACACACACACACACACACATAGTTTAAAAGCAAAAAAATCTTTTGGACATTCATCATATTGCATTGGTTTTCATTTCTTGTCCTCGAACAGAGCCCTAATCTGTTTATTTTTTCAGTTACACATTCTACATTGATTAAAAAAGAAAAATCAAATGTGTTTTTATTTTATACATAAATAAATAATCTATCATTCAGATGAGAATAAAGTTAGTGTTAGTTCAAATTTTAAGGAAAACAAATATATGATCTGAAATATAGCACATTCATTTAAAATTCATTCAGGTTCAATTACCAAACATACAAATCTCAATGTAATTTAAAGCAAACAATACATTTAAAATATATGGGTTGTATGCTATTTTTTTAATATAAAAAGATATATATCCAAAAAGACAAGGCCTAAACTTTAAGAAGGGTTAAACAATCACTGTAACAGACACAATCACACACACACACACACACACACACACACACACACACACACACACACACGTCAAATCACTTACATTTTAGATGCAATATTGACTTTTTTTCTGTTTCAGCAGCGAAAATAGTTAAACAAAGATCACAGCAGAACCATCGAGGATCTCACAGCAACGCGTTCTCATTACTGAATGATTCAGCATTTTGAACGAATTGGTTGACTCAAAGATTCAACGACCAATCCATAATCTGTCTCATTCATGAATGACTCAGCCGTTCGAACGAATCGTTTGAACGAATGAATCAATGACTCGCTCATTAAGACGGTCGCCTGGCGACACCTAATGACGGTTTAGTGTTATGTTTAAAAGTATCATTCTTTCCAACGATTGTTAATTAACTCATATTTGAAACATAAGCTATATATATATATACACACACATGTATACACAAAAATAAAATAAAAACACATTTGAAGCGTGTTTGCTTACTAAATTGTGAGCTGAACGAAAGTTGCAGCAAAGATCAGCAACAGGAGTCAAAATTCATTAATCACGAGAGTGAAGAGCTGACTGAAAAAAATGATGACGGAATATTTTGTGTAAAAGCGCCTATTTAAGCGAATCTGTCATTTACTCATTTGTTGTTGTGTTTTACCTGAAAACCGGAAACAATCGGCCCCCGATATGGTGCTAATTTTAAAGTGACACTAAAAAGTATGCGGCTGCACTGGCATTCATAACGGTGCGCGTCCATGGCGACGAGCAAGCAGAACAGAGCGAACGTTTTTTCATTTCTACTTCCATAGAAATTCATTCGAGCGCACTGCGAGCGCCACCACTATAAATGTCCGTGCGGACGTCCTTATACTTTACTTTCACTTTTATATTAGCGATTTAAAAGGCCTCGCTGGTGTCTAACGTCGATTAACCGGTGGGAAAAGATCCTCACAGCCACATACCTAATATATTTATATTTAATTACAATAGCCATACCTGATAAAAAAGTTTTATGTACTGAGTTGATATCATTTTGGACACAAGAGGGCAGTATAGCCCTTTGTATTACTTGATGTATTTATTTTTTAACTGAATAGCACATTCTGGCTGTTTTTAAACTTGTACATTATTCTTAAATTGAAAAATTCCCATTAATATTGTAAGAAAACACTTATTTTACCTGTAGGGGTGTAACGGTACACAAAAATCACGGTTCGGTACGTACCTCGGTTTTAAAGTCACGGTTCGGTACGTTTTCAAAAAGTAAGAAATGCCAGAGAAATTTCCTATTTGTTAAAAGAAAAAATATTTTTTAAATAAGTGTGAGTTTTCCTACATCTTGAAACTTTCAGGTTTATAAATGGGTGTCATCTTTGAAGGATGATCAAATAATGTTTTGGTAATCACATTAAAAATAACATTTAAATATATGAAGAGTTCAGATGCAAAAGCCATTTGAAATTTTCTTCTAGAATTATCATTTTTATCAAGCTTGTATATTTAAGTTCAGTAATTTCACTTAAATGGCAATGAAGATTACCTATTAATTGTCATTTGAGTGAAATTACTGAACTTAAATGACAATTACATTTAAATCTTTAAATTTTAATTTTTTTTTTTAATTTAAATCTTTAAATTTAAATCTTTAATCTTTTAAATCTTACATTTAAAAGATGGGGGTTATATGCATATTTTGTAATTTAAAAAGAAATACAAAATTGTTATGCAAAAAGACAAGGACTTAGAGATTTCTTTATCCTTTAATGCAGGAAAAATCATACAGCCAGCCACACACACACACACACATAAACACAGACACCAACCCTCCCTCCACTCCCCTCCCCTCCACTCCCCTCCCCTCCCCTTCCCTCCCCACACAGACACACACACACACAAACACACAGAGAATGGCAGGGGGACAATAAATCCATTCAAACTACAATATCTGACTTTCTGTTGCTCAGAGCTAATGACTTTAAATTAGAAAATTGATCGGCTTGATGAGAACAATATGCGTGGCAAGTTTTGTAACTGTAGGTAAAACGAGCTAAGTTATAACACATTTTATGTGTCCTTTTTTAGTCATAAAATTAATTTCCTCGCCACGGCCAAACCGTTCGAGATATCAAAAATCCCTCCGGAATTTAGCATCATCAATGTCTTGACTTCATGCTGACCGAGTTTGCTTGAAATCCGATCAATTCCCAAGGAGAATTAAAAAGAATTTCAGGGGTATGCGTTTCCAAACAAACCATGATAGCCGGCTTCCTGTTGGGATGTCGTAAAACTTAGAGCACGAAAGTTGTTCATCCCAATGAGATCTATAAGTGTACCGAGTTTCATATTATTACATGCAAGTGTCTTTGATTTATGGACAAGTGTTCGAATCCCAGTCCAGGGGGCGCTGTCGGTCCGCCCTGCCACGCCCGGGTACCAGCTTCAGTCCGGCCCTGATGGCCGCGGGTTCTGACCCGTGTGCAAAGTTTCAAGAGTTTTAGAGGATGTTAAGGGGCCCAAAAGCCCCTGAAACCTGTATCAACAATAATTAAAAGCATTGTCACTCAAACAGACACATCCCCCTCCCCCCACAGACACAGAGGTATGCAGAGAGAGGGAGAGAGGGACAGAGATTACTCCAAAGCATCCACATTCAAACCAAAATATCTGACTTCCTGTTGTTCGGAACCAAAATCTGTAAATTAGAAAGTTGTCCGGCTTGATCTGAACAATATGCCTACCGAGTTATAAGATTGCAGGTAAAACTATGAAACTAACCATCTCACTTTTGTCAAAAGGTGGCGCTACTGAGTCCCTGCACCACGCCCGTTTCTGAAACTTTGCACATGTCTACTGGCTAATAAATGTGACGTGTCTGTCGAGTTTCATGCAATTTCAAGCATGCTAAGAGTCTCAAAAGCATCAAAAAAGAATTTTAAAGTTTGATGTGTTGCCACGGCAACAGTATCAAAGATATCAAGAATCCATTCACAGGTCTACATCTGGCGTGTGTTTACATTATACAGATGAAGTTTGAAGCAAATTGGGTTAAAATAAGAGGGTGATTTCGAAGCATTTTGAAAGTGACACACTTCCTGCTGCCAGTTGGTGGCGCTATAACTTTGACTCACAATAGTCACATCCATGTGATCGGCCTCTTACAACGAACACACTGCTGAAGTTTCATCAAGATCAGTTAATGTATGCAGAAGTTATAACACACTTCCTGTTTCACGTTTCTCGCCATAATTTCGTTTCCTCGCCACGGCCAAACCGTTCGAGATATCAAAAATCCCCTCGCAATTTTTCATCCTCAATGTCTTGACTTCATGCTGACCGAGTTTCGTGGCATTTCTTTGAATTCTCTAGGAGAAGTACTTTAAATTCCATTGCATGCGTTTTACAAACAACCCTAAATAGCCGACTTCCTGTTGGGCTGGGGTAAAAAGTAAATGCACGAAGGATATATGAACCGATGAGATCTACATGTGTACCGAGTTTCATATTCTTACATGCAAGCGTGTTTGATTTATGGACCAAGTTTTCGGACCCCGTTCCAGGGGGCGCTGTCTAGCCCCCCTGCCACGCCCGGGTACCATCTTCAGCCCAAGCCTGATGGCCGCGGGTTCTGACCCGCGTGCAAAGTTTCAAGAGTTTTCGGGCACGTTAAGGGCCCCAAAAGTGCCCGAATAGTCGTAAGAAAAATAAAAGAGGAGAAAAAAAAAAAAAATAATCCTTAGGAAAACAATAGGGCCTTCGCCTTTTCAAGGCTTGGGCCCTAATAATAATAATAATAATAATAATAATAATAATAATAATAAATAATCCTAAGGAAAACAATAGGGCCTTCGCCCTTTGGGCTTGGGCCCTAATAATATTTAGACTCTACAAATAAAATAGGGATTTCACTTTCTAGCACTTTCCTCTTGAACGTCAAATAATTGTGATAAATATTTGTATTTATTGAATTGAGGTCAGACTCACCATGAAATAGCCATAGTAGTTCTTAGAATTGCATTAAATTTCAAACAAACAAACAAATCACCCTGAAATATATTGTTACTTATCATTTAAGGGTAAGAAACCATTCATCTCAGATGTATGTCAGAGCCGATAGCCTGGTGGGCAGGGTGTATATATATATATATATATATATGCGTGTATATATAAAATAAAATATAATATTGTGACAACACAAACATGGAGATTTGTTACCAACAATTGATATTGAATTTCCTTCTTTTAGTCAGGTGACACTAATACCTGATGAGGCAGAGGATATGTGGCACACCTACAACCTGCTGCAGGTGGGCGACAGCCTCAGAGCCTCAACCATCAGGTCTGCCTCTTTTTCTTCCCCAACAACCACAGTAGCCTGCCTCTTTTTTCCAGTCTTGGTTTATCACACTTAATATTAGAGATTTTTCCCATCTGTTCAATGATGAAAACAATCTGTCACAAACAGGAAAGTGCAGACGGAGTCCTCCACGGGGAGTGTGGGAAGTTCACGTGTGCGTACCACCCTGACTTTATGTGTGGAGACGATAGACTTTGATTCCCAGGCCTGTCAGCTCAGAGTCAAAGGAACAAACATCCAGGAGAACCAGTATGTGAAGGTCAGTTTTTTTCATTTTTCAAAAGTTATAATAGAACTATAACTATAGTGCTAACTTAGCACCTAAAATATAATTTATACTTCATACATTTGAATATTAATGGGAATAACGTTTATAATTAGCATTGATCCTTGGGATAAATTCCATATATTATTTTAGTCTAAATGTGAAAGCTGGAATGAAAAAGTCATATTTATTGTCTTGTGTGATTATATAGATGGGTGCCTATCATACCATTGAGCTGGAGCTCAACAGGAAGTTCACTCTAGCCAAAAAAGTCTGGGACAGTGTGGTGCTGGACAGAATTGGTAATGTGTTGTTTTTTTGTGTGTATTTTTGGAGTAAAATTAGCTTTTTTAGCTAATAACAATTTTACATACTATGTCATGTTTGAAATTTAGAGCTATTTTGTAAAAAAAAGAAAAAAAAAAGAAATTTTATAATATTTTAGCATCACGTAGATGGAAACAGGAATTTTCTTTCTTCGTGAAGAAGAAAGTTTTACAGTGAAAATGGATGGTGATCATGTCTATCAAGCTGAAAAATTATTATTATTATTTTATCTGTCCTGCCTATTTGCATTTAGCCTGACTACGTCAGACTTCGTACTTCCGCTCAAAGTGAAGTAGCAGAGTTATTTTACCAGGCTAATTTGCATTCACTTAGGACATGCCTCTCATCCATCTACCCTTGTAATGTAAAAAGCGAGTCTACACTCACTCTTTACATTATTTCCCGCCCAAACTTGAATGATTCCATTGGTGATCACTTTTACTATAAGTGCCACGTTTGACCCACAAGTTCTAGATGACCTTTTGCCAATATATCTTTTTAAAAGTCAGCAAAAGTACATCTGATTGCAATTAATTAGATAGAAAAGCAGAAGAGACTTTTTACTGCTGTTATGGTATATGAGGACTCTAAAGGGGTCGTGACATGGATTTTTAAAATTATTTTAATGTTCCTTGAGGTTCACTGATAATGTTAAAGTTGTTTTGCACAACAAATATATATGTGGCTAAACAATTATTTTCGACCTTCATTCTGGCCCTCTGTCTGAAATGATCAATTTTTAAGCAGCAGCTTCTTTAAGGCTTGTCAGTTAACGGTCACTGTTATGATTGGCTAACGTCAGTGCATAGAAAACAGTATTAACACCCACTCGCTATTCCACGTGAGTAATCATGAGTTTACCGTTAATCACGTGTAGCCGTTAAGCAACTGAACGCCAGTGGCTGAGGCCTATGGTGAAATTACCGTATGTAAAACTAGAACTAGAAAATTTGATTTCTCATGTCATGACACCTTAAATTCTTTCCACATCACTCCAAAGAGAAGTGTGGGTAAGACCTAAAAGGCAGTAGTGAAAGTAATATTTCTATATGCACGTTTTAATGTGAGCATTTACAGGCGTGTGTGCTTCATAAGGACACCACATTAAGCAACATGATCCCTGTTTAAACATGTTGCCTTTGCCTTATTCTATGAGTAACAGTGCCACATTTTGTAGTTGTAATTCGACCAAGTATCTTGGCTTGACAACTGCAGTCACCGTTCACTTTCAATGCATGGCATAGGACAGCTATGAGTATATTAAAAAGTTGATGAATCTGATCCAGCTCATCACCAGTTTGTTTGAATCCTGATCTATAGAGCAGGCATGTGATCCCGCTCAAAAAGCAGATGTGGCTGCAGTCGTGATGCAGGAAGGTCTGGCCAATTTGGTTCTCGTAACACCAGCCATGACCTTACTCAGGGCGAAGGTTGAGGTCACCATTCCCCGCAAGAGGAAAGGCAGTTGTGCTCAACATGACAAGGTGAACCGATAAAACTTTGCAACAATAAATCTGACAATGTTTTTGTGTTTATCATTATATTTAACAAATAAAAATGACTGTTACCACTAGATATTGTATGTTGGGTAGCTAGAAGCTGTTGGTAGAGTCACCCAAATCCATATTTCCCTACATTTTGTAGTAGATCAATGTAAATTATACTTCTTACTTTTTACCAAGGGATATCAGCTTGAATGTATAATAGCTCTGTGTGAAATTGAATGATATCATACTGTATATATACATCCTACTGCCTACGGGGCTCTAAACAGTTTCAAGGAACAAAAACAAAAAACAGAACCTAAGAAAATTTGAACAAGAACACAAAGGAAAACATCATGAACAAACATGCTTATTTTTGGTCAAAAAAAGATTTTTCTTTTTTTTTTTAAAAAGGAAAAAGCTAAGAAAGAAAATATGGCCCATTCTTTTTGGTTTTGGTTTAAGACCTGGAAATAATTCAGCTCGATCATTATGTGCCAAAAGAAACAGTGGGTTGTCGTTGTCAGGAGTGATGCTGATTGTGGAACAGGCATCTCGCCACAGGCTTTTTTGATTCGCACGTCTTCAAATTATACTTTCTTTGTGTTAAACTAGTCTGCCATGAAAAACTAGTACATTTTGGGATTTAAAAAAAAAAAGGCTGCTGAGGGAGTGGTGAATTTGGCGTTCTCTCTTATGACTGCTGTAATCAATTTCTCTCACTTTTTTTTTTCTCTTTAGGAGAATCGTGGAATTTTTTTATTTGTTTTTACATTTGTAATTGGAGCAAATGGATACATTTTTTTTATTTGCTATAGTTTTCCATTCTCAAGTTTAACCAATTATAGGGCTTCCTCTTCTGAGAACCCAGAAATGTGATTTTTTTTTTAATCCATTTTTATTTTTATCCATTGAATCCATAAATTTTAAATTCAACTTTAAGAATCTTAAGAATGAGAACGAGATGTTGTCACTGCTGGTATTAATTCTGGTTGCATTGTACTCTGTTGTGTACTGCACATTTTGTACAAATGTAGTCGGTTCAATGCATATAGAAATTACTGCATACATTTAAAAAATTTGAGACCCGTTATATACAGTGACATTGATGTGTTCTATTTCAGGCATTAGATCGATTTTATGAGGCTGTCATGCAGGGCATTCTGAGACACTTCAATTTTGATGGTAATTTTTTTTTTAAATCAGATAAGAATATACATTAGATAAATAAATAAATACTGATGTGTTTTTTTTTATTCTTTATTTATGTGTTTCTCAGTGGTGAAGTGTATTCTGGTGGCCAGTCCAGGCTTTGTGAAAGATCAGTTCATCTCATACCTCTTTAAAGAGGCAGTAAGACAAGACTGCAAAATTCTTCTAGAGAACAGATCCAAATTCATGATGGTACACTCCTCATCCGGACACAAGTATTCTCTCAAAGGTCAGAGTTCCTCAATCCTCTGTTCACCTTTTAAAGTAGGGATGTGCAAAACCTTACATTTTCATAATTGCTTAGTAGTCTTGTCATGGTTCATAGCAGCAGTTATAAATGGTACAAGGGTAGAGGCCATGAAAAGACATTATGTTCTTAAATCAATATCTTAATGAGTATAATAGCATTCAATCATGTAAAGTGGCTTTTATTGGGAAAACCATTCAATATATGCAAAGAGTCAATATTTACAGTGTTGACCCATATTCTTTATAACCTCAGCAATTCACTCTGGCACGCTGGATATCAGTTCCGGGCCAAATCCTGACTGATGGTGACCCATTCTTGCCTTATTATTGCTTGGGGTTGATCACAATTTGTGAACTTCTGCTTGTCCACTTGCCTTTTGAGGACTGGCAACAGGTTCGCTACGGGATTAAGATCCGGGGAGTTGCATGGCCACGAATCCAAAACTTCAATGTGCCACTTCATTTATTTATTATTACTCTTGTCTTGTGACATGATGCTTCATCATGCTGGAAAATGTACAGATCATCACCACATTGCTCCTGGATCATTAGAAGTTGCTCTTGGAGGGCGTTTTGATACCATTCTTTATGCATTACAGTGTTTTTCGGGTAGAATTGTGAGAGAGCCCACTCCCTTGGACGACAAGCAACCCCACACATGGATGGTCTCAGGATGCTTCACTGTTGGGACAGCACAGGACTCATGGTAGCGTTCACCTTTTCTTTCCTGGGCAGTTGCTTTTCCAGATGTCCTAAACCGTCAGAAGGGGGCTTCATCAGAGAAAATAACTGCTGCCCAATCATTGTAGTTCCTGCAGAATTTCCATTTGTCCTTGATGTTTTTTCTTTGAGAGAAGTGGTTTCTTTGCTGCCCGTCTTGACACTGGGCCGTTGTCCCAAAGTCTTTACACTATTCCGTAGCTGAATCCTCAGGAGGAGAAGGTCCTGGTGCTTGCTGGACACTATGGGAACCTCTCTCTCCTTGAAATTCTTGATGATTAATGGTTCTTTCAGGTGCAATATTCTTTACAGCAATTTCCTTGCATGTGAGGCAATTTTGATGCAAAGTGATGATGGTTGTACATCTTTCTTTGGAGGCAACTATTGCTAACACAAGAACACAATGATTGGAAGCACTTTCCCCCTCATTGAATAGCTGTTATGCTCTCATAATATAATCATAATGATGGAGTGGTTTCAGGTTTCACCTGACTAGTACTTGTTCACACTTTCCTATGTGCTGATGATATGATTAGTGAAATTATGTTAGCTGGTCATTTTGCTTGTAAATAAGTAAAATCTAGGCTATTGATTAGAGTTGCCATAGACTAAAGATTTGTCTAGTCTACCAGTAGTCATTCATTTAAGCAATAAGTCAACTAATCGCACGTTTATATTCATTTCTGCCTAAATACTGGGTGCATGGAGGAATATAGCCTATTCCGCGCTCAAGCGCATGCATAAATCTTGCCACAAAACTAGGTATGATAATAAATCTGTCTGAAATATAACGAAGCATTTTAATTGTTTATTAATAAACTAGCATTTTCTAAATCAGTGTAGGCTGCTTACATATCTCCATACATCTCTGCTGTAAAGTAGATGCACCTTTATAGAGAAATGCACCTTTAATACAGACATGAATACATAATCAGATGGTACAGTATTTGCTTTCGTTTCGATTTTTTTCGTTGGTGGCCATTTCAAGCTTTAAATAGCCTATGTATATTTCTCATGTCTATGAGGCTAGTCTATACGCTGGTTTTGTTTTTTTTCATTTTTGAGACGCGCTCCAGTTCACGGAGACCAGAAGCGCGTCCTGTTTGTTTTATTTTATTTTACAAAAGCACAACGTTTTCTTGTTATTGTGAGTTAACACAAATAAAAGTAGTTTCTGTTTGACTAGAAATTTAGTATTTTAAGTTGTTTCCACTGTTTATAGGAAAATGGAAGTGTTCGCCCCGGCGCCCCATATCATGCAGTAAACGCGCTCCACACAAACACTTGGATATGCACCTAATAATAGCGAACATTTATCTAGGTTAATGTTGTTAAGTTATGTTTCTTTTACTGCGCATGTGTGAAGAGCACCATTTTATGGGTTAGCGCGGTTTATTCAGTTGTTGTTAGGTCTGGCGTTCTATGAGAGGTAGAGCGGCTGTGTTAAGTGATGGAGCAATAAAGAATCTATTGTCTGATAACTGTTGTAGTAGTTATTGAATCAACATTGGTAGCAGAGGATGGCTGCTGCTGGGAATTACAAAAATCCCCCACCGTTTGACGAGAAGACGGCTTATGAAAGTTGGAAAAATGAGATTGAAATTTGGAGACGCGTTACTGACCTGGAAAAGAAAAAACAAGCCTTGGCAGTTACTCTGTCACTAACGGGCAGAGCAAGGGACAGTGCTCTGGAAATTTCCGCTGAGGATTTGAATGACGACACGGGAATGCAAACACTCATAGCGAAGTTGGACTCTGTATTTTTAAAAGAAGAAAAAGATCGGCAGTACGAGGCGTACACGGAGTTTGACCGGATCACTAGAGAGAGCGGTGTTTCTATGGTGGAATACATCGTCGAGTTCGAACGTCGATACAACAGGCTACGTAAGTTCAAAATGGAGCTTCCTCATGCCGTACTAGCCTTTAAGTTACTTGATACTGCCGGACTTACTGTTAAAGATAAACAGTTAGCACTTACAGCTTGCTCTAGCGTTTCTTTCACTGATATGAAATCAGCCTTGAAAAGAATTTTTGGAGATAACGTTACTTCACCACGAGAGGGCGGCAGTGTACTACAAAACACAGATGGTGACACTGCCTATTACACGAGATATTCAGGAAAACGGGGACACAAGTCTAACACTACACAACAACCCCAAACCATAGCTCAAGGCACAAACCCTCTTGATAAATATGGAAGAAGAACGAAATGTGCAATTTGCCAAAGCACGTATCACTGGGCAAAGGACTGTCCAAATAAAAAGGAACATGTAAGACTGACAAAAGATGAAGGACTAAAAGATGACATTGAAGAATGTAACATCACTTTGTTTTCAAATGAATCTTTGTCTAACACAGAAATTTTCATGGTGGAGGCTTTAGGATCAGCTGTGATTGACACAGCCTGTACAAGAACTGTGTGTGGAGAAAAATGGCTTGAAGATTACACAAGTGGGCTGCCACAGAGTGAGTTACTGAAAATAGATGACAAACAAAGTGCAAGACCTTTCAGATTTGGTGATGGCAGGGTTGTTTATTCCACAAGGAAAGTTACCATTCCAGCAAGGATAGGACATACCAGATGCAAAATAGAGACAGAAGTTGTTCCTGCAGAAATACCAATGCTTTTAAGCAAGACTTCATTGAAAAGAGCAAGCGCAGTTCTGGACATTGCACGTGACAAAGCAACGATGTTTAAACAACCTGTTAAACTTGAACTAACATCTTCAGGAAATTACTGTGTGAATTTGAGAGAAGACAGTCATCCAGATGAAAAGGAGACAAGTGAGAACAAGACACACAATGAAAATGAAATTCTTGCTGTGACAGAAAACATGACAACAAAAGAAAAGGAGACAGTCCTATTGAAACTACACAGACAATTTGGACATGCTTCAGCTGATAGACTGCAAAAATTACTGGCCTGCTCAGGTAATCACGATGATGAAAGCAACACAATTCTCAAGAACATTGTTAAAAACTGTGATACATGTACCAGATACAGCAAGCCAAAACATAAGCCTGTAGTGGGTTTGCCTATGGCATCAGCCTATAATGAGACTGTGGCTGTGGACTGACATGAGCTTGAGCACGGAGTATGGTATTTGCATGCTATTGATCATTTCACACGCTTCAGTGCAGGGAGTATCGTCACCACAAAGAACCCAAAAGAGATAGTGAAGCACTTTATTCACTGCTGGATAAGTGTTCATGGTCCCCCATGCAGAGTGTTTAGTGATAATGGAGGTGAATTTAATAACGACGAAATGAAGGACATGGCTGAAAAGTTTAACATTGAAATCAAAACAACGGCAGCGTACAGTCCATGGAGCAATGGCCTTGTTGAAAGGCACAATCTGACCCTAACTGAAATTTTGCTGAAACTGAAGAGGGACAACAACTGTGACTGGAAGACAGCTCTAGATTGGGCACTAATGGCAAAGAACTCCATGCACAATGTGCATGATTACAGTCCCTACCAGTTAGTGTTTGGGCAGAACCCGAATCTTCCCTCAGTCCTCACCAATAAGCCTCCAGCTCTAGAAACAAGTATGAGTAGTTGGATAGCTAAACAAATCACCACACTACATGCAATGAGAACAGCATTCACAGAAGCCGAATGCTCAGAGAGAATTAGAAGAGCCCTTCGTAAGCAACTGCGGCCCATTGATGACAGATATGAAACGGGAGACAAAGTGTATTATAAGCGAGTAGATTGTAATGAGTGGAAAGGCCCAGGTGTGGTCATAGGCCAAGATAGTGTGGTTGTATTTGTCAGGCATGGTGGAACCTATGTTCGGGTGCATCAGTCTAGACTAAGAAAGGTGGATGACCCACAAACAAACCTGGAGGAGACAGAAAGGGAACAAATAAAAAAAAATGAAAATCCCACAATAACACCAGCAGCAGATCTTAGTGACACTGAAAGTGAAACTGAGGAAATGACACCAGAAAATGACGAACCCATTAATCCTGAAGATGTCAGTGAACCTTCTGCATCAGTGCTACCTGGAGGTGATAGTCTTTATCAACCCCACACGCCACAAACCTGCTCATCCACGAACTGTGAAGGTCTAAGCCTGAAAAAAGATCAAATAGTTAAATACACAGATAATCAAAGTGGACAAATCCATACTGGAAAAATCCTCGGCCGAGCAGGAAAGGCAACCGGCAAACACAAAAACTGGTACAATTTGCAGTTCAGTGAGCCTGAGGAAACTGCTGGCACAACTGCATCAGTCAATCTAGGACAAATGGACAATGTTCAGGTGATTCCATCCGAACATGCTAAGTTGAGCACTGACTACAATGATGAAGATATATTGATAGTACATGATGATCTCTTCACGCATGAAAAAAATACAGAACTAAGCACCTGGAAGAGAAATAACGTCTTTGAAGAAGTGAAAGATGAAGGCCAGAAGTGCATCTCCACGAGGTGGGTGTGCACACTTAAAGAAACCACTGCTGGAGTTGTACGTAAGGCCAGACTAGTGGCGAGAGGCTTTGAAGAAATGAACACTCAAGACCTTCCCAAAGACTCACCTACATGTGCCTCAGAGTCTCTTAAAATGATCATGGCAGTAATATGTCAAAATAAATGGCAGCTAAACTCCATGGACATTAAAGCAGCCTTTCTACAAGGTAAAGAGTTAACCAGAGATATTTACATTCGCCCACCACAAGAAGTGCAGAACAAAGGAACCATATGGAAGTTGAAAAAATGTGTTTATGGCCTAACAGATGCTTCTTTATTCTGGTATAATAGAGTAAAAGACACCATGCAACAATTGGGAGCTACCGTGTCAAAGGTAGATCCAGCAGTATTCTACTGGGTGGATGATTCCTGCAAGGTGATAGGGATTCTTGCGTCACATGTGGATGACTTTATTTGGGGTGGTACAGATGCATTCTCCATAAATATCATTCCTCAGTTGAAAGCTGCCTTTCAAGTCGGACGGGAAGAACATGACAGTTTCAGCTACATTGGAATAGAAGTACATTCTAAGGACGATGAAATACAAGTACAACAAGGAACGTACATAAAAAATCTGCAACCCATCCCAGTGGATTCCACCAGAGCAACACAACGTGAGGCGTCATTGACAGATGTTGAGATGGACATGCTAAAATCAAAGATTGGACAAATATTGTGGGTTGCCAGGCAAAGTCGTCCTGACATTATATATGACATATCCATGTTGGCATCTAACACAAAGCATGCTACCGTTCAGACCCTGCATTGTGCAAATAAACTTATCAGAAAACTGAAATCAGAAGAGGTCATCTTGAGGTTTCAGTACTTAGGGGAAAACAGTTCAGTTAAATTGGTGGTGTACAGTGATTCCTCAATGGGGAATCTTCCGGATGGTGGTACACAGGGTGGTCATTTCATCATGCTTATGGGGGAAAATGGAAAATTTTCTCCTATATCTTGGCAGTCAAAACGGATCAGAAGAGTTGTACGGAGTACCTTAGCGGGAGAGACTTTGGCACTTGCAGATGGAGTTGACAGTGCAGTTTTCCTCGCTACATTATACTCTGAGATTACCACTGGTGGCTCCTCATGCATCAACGTGCCTATTGTGTGTGTAATAGACAATCATTCTCTTCTTGATGCTCTCAAATCTACAAAATCTGTAACCGAAAAGAGACTGCGCCTAGAAATCAGTAGTATGAAGGAGCTTATACACTCTGGAACTATTCAGCAGATCTTGTGGTCAGCCACTAAAGAGCAGCTAGCTAACTGCTTGACCAAAAAGGGTGCATCTGCACTTGGCCTTCTGAAAGCCCTCAGCACAGGTGTTTGCCATCTTAAGCACTGAATGGATTTGCTTATGTTTTGTCAATGTCTAGACATTTAAACTGAGGTATTTAAGTTAACCTGTTATCCTGTTATAATAATAACCAATGCTTATGTTATATCTTGAACAGTTTTTTTTATAAAAAAAAGAGGGAGATTGTTAAGTTATGTTTCTTTTACTGCGCATGTGTGAAGAGCACCATTTTATGGGTCAGCGCGGTTTATTCAGTTGTTGTTCGGTCTGGCGTTCTATGAGAGGTAGAGCGGCTGTGTTAAGTGATGGAGCAATAAAGAATCTATTGTCTGATAACTGTTGTAGTAGTTATTGAATCAACAAATGTTAGAGCGAGCGGCCATGCCAGACGGATAAGTCCTCTTCATGTTTAACCAATCAAATCAAGCATTTTCTACCTACGGTGAGTAAGCTTGTGCCAGTTTGAAAAGGTGGGCTGAAACACAACACTTGCCTATTACAGATAAAAGCCCAATGCTGGTGTTTTGCTTTAAATAAATTGGTTTTAAAATAAATATTGTTTCTGGGCTAATTAATGCGACAATAATTTAAGTTTATTTTATAGGCTACTTATATTTTTCATTTTTGTTTTGCATTGAATAGCTACCATTTAAAGGATTTGTTGTGCGCCGTAATGCTATCCTCCCATAGAAAGCCACGTTACGAGTTTTCTTTATAATAACGGGTTTCTATGGGAGGAAATCGCTTAACGTTGGATTAAATGGGTTGCGTTCATATTCTGGGCTTGTCTGCTTTTCTGTAGGCCTACACATAGTATGGTTTATTAATAAGGTGTGTACAGAATTTGATCTTTATCACTGTCTTAGTAGCCTATTAAGCGTTTTCTTTATAATAAGGGTTTTGCTTAAGGTGTAATTAATAGCAATGCGTTCGTATTCTGGGCTCATCTGCTACTCTGTAGGATACATATGCTTTATTAATAAGGTGGTGTGTACAGAATTTGATCTTTTAACATGAATGTCCATTGGGGGCTGCTACTATTTGCTTCAGCTTTTTGAACGTAGAAGTATGATAAAGGCATGATAGGCTATATACATTTTATGTGGATAAAGGCATATTTTGTACATGACTAGTCCTTATAAGGCCTAGAAAATCTGTCGTTTTAACGACATAACATCTCGTTATTACGACATAATTGAGTGGAAAAAATATGTATGTGGCAGCAATGCGCCACCGTACTTAAGGGGTGAAGACAAACCATGTGCAAAAAAGTCGGCACCATTGCTGAGTATTTTCTTCTTAAAACTGCAGTGAACCAAAGACTCTCTTGTGATCGCCAACGAGTGGATCTCTGAGCTGATGCGAGTGAGTGGAGGCGGGCTAATTTGCATATTCATAGAACCGCGTATACTAAATGAGGCAATGGTGTAGATACATTGAAGCTATTTTAAAGCATGAATACTTTTTTTCAAGGAAAAAGCATTTAAAATGTCATTTTGGTGATCAAAGAAGAGTTTTAAGGGATATAATCAGTGACTACAGGGGGACTTTAAGTAAAAAAAGAAAAGAAATTCAAAACCACAACAACTTAACACAAAATTTGTCACTGCTAATACTTTTGGCCACGGTTGTATGGTGAATTATACTGAGAAGGAGAATTTGTTTTTTATTACCTTTCATGTAGTGTAATATAGCAGTTTGTGAATGCAAAGGGTCTGCAGTTTCAAAGATCATATGCATGATAAATGGAGTTATTGTCTGCCAAAAGAAAGAACTGATTCTGAACTGCCTGAAACAAGTCATTAGTAACTCCTGTCTTACTTACAAATTTGCATAATGCCAGCCTATGGTCCTCATTGGCTGCAGCAAACAGCGTCTACTTCAAGCATTCAAGCACTGTAGTTGTAGCCTGGCACAGTGAAGTTTCGTTTCTGACACTCACTGCAAGCGGTAGACTGGGCCATCTGACCAATCAGAGCAGAGTAAGCTCTCAAACAGGAGGGGTTTAGAGTGACTGAATCCTTGATCAAACCGTTTCAGACACCGAGAAAAGAGGTGATGCTGCAATGTATATTTAGGATTTTATTTAGTCAACTTTTAGAAATAAATTTCAGTTTTTAAAGTGACATTATAAATGTGAGATTTTACTTCTACAGAAGTGCTGTGTGATCCAGCAGTCACGGCTCGATTGTCTGACACCAAGGTGACTAAGTTTGGATTTGTACATCTACATATATTGAAGCTTGTAGCATTCTGCAAGCACAGTGTAGTGTCTATTGCTATGAGAGTTTTTTTTTTTCTGTTTTAGGCTGCTGGAGAGGTAAAGGCTTTAGAAGACTTTTACAAGATGCTTCAACAGGAGCCTGATCGAGCTTTCTATGGGTGATCAAACTCACTACCATTTAAATGAGTCATTCCTGTCAATATTACACACAACCTGAATGAGAAAACACATTTGCGTTTCAGGTTAATCAATGACATGTAACATTATTGATACATGATTATTTATAACAGTCTTTTCATCCATTAATAAAGCTTTTTTTCTGGACAGATTGGCTCATGTGGAAAGAGCGAGTGAAGCTTTAGCCATCGACATCCTGTTGATCAGTGACAAACTATTCAGGTACTTTTGAAAGTAATAAATTCATTATTTACCATAGAATATGAATATATACTATATATATATTTTTTTCTTCTTCTTCATGATAGACATCAAGACATAGCCACCCGCAGCCGGTATGTTCGGCTTGTAGACGGTGTAAAGGAAAATGGAGGAACTGTCAGGTATTCATATGAATTTTCAATTCAATTTCAGTAATGGCATGCATTTATAGTTCTATATGTGTTATGGGAAAACTTTGATCTTTGCTCACCAATATTGTTGACTTTGTCCCCCCCTGCTTTCCTTTAAGAATGTTCTCAAGCCTGCATGTATCTGGAGAACGTAAGCTACTTTTTCAAAGTCTTGGTTTCAGAGAGGATTATTTTGGATCGTCATGTGCCTGAAATGGTGCGATTTGTCTCTGTAGAGTTGAATCAGCTGAGTGGAGTGGCGGCCCTCCTGAGGTTCCCCATCGCTGACGTGTCTGAAGCTGAGGACAGCAGCTCTGATGAAGACTAACATTATGGTCTTGTGCAAAAGGATTTTGTGTGAAAGGTTGGGAATGCTTCACATTTAGGACTAAATGGAATAAGAATCCATAATGGCCTTAATAAAGGATTTAAAAGCAGTTGAAGCTGTACAAAAACCTTGATAATTGATTATTTGTGACTGATGCAATTACAAAATAATCTACTGAATCCACATTTATTTTCTATGAATACTACTCAGAATTAGGGGTGGGCGATATCTCGATATTTAAAATATATCGAGATATTTTTTAAACACGATATGGATTTTGACATATCGTATATATCGATATATTGTTTATATTTAATCCTGATTTCGCCACTTTGCTTGTTTGCCTTCTCTGTGCTGTGCTCGCCCCCGCCTCCTTGCTTTTGTTCCCCGTCACCTCGCGTGTTGTCTCATTCAACAATTGTCTCATCCGCAACCAGCCCGGAGGCTACAGAACTCCGAGTGTGTCTGCGCGCGAGCGACAGAGCACGAGAGAAACCGAGTGTGAGCATTAATTGCATTAGTAAATTGGTAGCCTACATACTACAATATATAATTACTATATAAGAGGCATGGAAGTTCGATTAATGGACTCCAGTAATCAGAAGGCTACTACAAACGTCTTGTTTTAAACTATTGCAGGGCTCGAATTTCGGCGCGGGTATTGCGCATAATTCTAATCATTCCCGCAGGTCTCCCATTTATAATGCGGGAAATTCCCGCAATCGTAATCCACACAGATTATAAAATCAAATCATTCTTTTAACAACTATCTGCCAGACGCAATTTCACAAACAGCGTGTGTTCAGCGGTGCCGCGTCTTCTTTCTCTTCTCTCATAATGTGTTGTGCAAGGCAAGCATCAAGCGCTGCGGCGATAACACACACTCGCGTTTAGGAGTCGGGACATGATGGATATTCACTCGCACAATCGGGCCAGCAGTGCATCGTGACTGAAATTTACCATTTGCACGTCTTTTTAAGTCTTACCAGTTTAAACATTCAAGCGATTTTAAACTAATCAGTGCTCGCACGCTCTCTGAGAGATTATTTTCTATGCGCACATTCATAGAAAATCCGCCTTAAGAACAGCTGGCCAGTAACAAAAGTTATTTTTTGCGGATTATATTGCTTTAACACGCAAAATTGTCAATTTCGGTCGTCGTGAGTAGGCTATACCCTAAACATAGTCGGTTTGGTCTTTAATAAGCATAAAACGCATGCCAGTATAATGAACACAGGATCCGTGCACTAGCTCTTAAAGTGACGGCAGCCATATGTGTGTGTCATTCATTTTGTTGAATGCAACAAAAGATAGCTTTAAGTTAAAGGAATCAGGATTAATAACCTATGTATTTAATTTATTCAGGACTAAAATACTACTCAGTGTTATTTTCCATTTGATTACTTTATTCAGTTTCTGTATATGAATCACGTGATTAATAATGATGACGAAATTCAGGCCCTGTGTTTAATTTTTCTCATTTGGTTACATTCTGTTATGGAAAATTAATTTTCTATTGATTGTAGGCCTATATTTTGAGTATTATATCGAGATATATTTTTTGCTCCATATCGCCCAGCCCTACTCAGAATAACACCATTCGTGCCATTTTTTGAATTTCATTTTCAACAGTTAATGGAGTGCATTCAGAAAGTGGTTTGCTTAATAGACCGATGCTTTGTCAGCATCGCAGTTTGTCACACTGAAGTAGTGGCAAACATACTCAAGTAGTCACACTAAGTAGAGCATAAACACTGTGTTGTTTAATCCATTTACAGTATTACACACATTTTAGTCTCAATAGCAATGCAAATGCAACTTACCTAGCCATGCAGTTGCCGTTTCCAGTTAATATGTAGCTTAGATTTATTGTAACTTCTTTCTTCGTTGACGATGACTCATGTCTTTCACATCACTGTCGTATACCTCTGTTCGCAATACACGTCTCACACTGACAGCGTTTGCTGTGTAACAGGCCAACTGTACAGCTCTGCTAGTAAAACCCAAAGAATACTTAGTTTTTTATGAATACATTAGGGTATGTTTCAGGGTCGCCAATTCTGAATAACAACTCATCTAGCACAGTTAAATCATTGGTAGAATGGATAAAATATTTCAATACCGGCATTTCAATCTACAAATACAATTGGTCTAATATGTCAATGTAAAAAAAAAAGGAAAAAAATCAACCCATGTCAACAGTTTAAAAGTCCAATTTTGCAGGAACACCACAGACTTGGCAACCCTGGTATGCGTACACTGCGCGCGAGGTAAATCTTTTGATTAGCATTAGTCAGCCAGTTCTCATCCTTTGGCGTCATACATGTGACGCTTTGTACATTTCGTCGAAATCTTACGCACATGGCACCCTTTAGCATCAATATGAGACGCAGAACCCAAGGCGTCATACAGGTGACGCTCGTCTAAATTCGACGCACATGGCATTGTTTAGCGTGAATATAAGACGCAGATCCCAAGGCGTCATAACCGTACCCTACCCCAGACCTAAACCTACCCATAACAGTGCGTGTTATATTGACGCTAAAGGATGCCATGTGCGTAAGATTTCGACGAAATGTCATATGGCGTCACCTATATGACGCCAAAGGATGAGAATGCGTTGCATTAGTAGTAAGAGCTTACTGTATGCGAGCAGCAGCAGCGTATACTCAACCTTTACGTGATTTATTTTTTATTTTTGTTGCACTAATTAGTCTACTAGTCTTAATTTTGACATAAGAAGTGTTAAAATATGACTGTTTACGATCTTTGTTTCCATGACAATTGTTGACGAATCCAGACGAGATTAAAATATAGTTTAAAAAAATTCAACTTTACCAAACCTCTCCCTATATTCTTCACTGAAAATGAAAAGAAAAATGTTTTTATCAAGCCTCCACGAGCTTTAATGTTTAGGGGTTGCCAGATGTCAAGTTCAAATCCCCCAAAACAGCTTTTATTTTATATGGATACATTTTCTGCCCTGTGTTTTACTTAATCTTCGCAACCTGGAAACCATGCGCACACGCTTTCTCTACACTGTGGAAAAAATGCAGATGATCTGAAAACACAGACACACGTAAGTTGGAGTTTAATGATCTCCATTGTGATATTCTGCTCAAATAAAAGTGTAATACAGCCAGTCTGTGTTCCTTCATGAGCGGTTGTGGCTAAATCTGTGATCAAACATTCTCAGTGATGAACTGTAATAAATCCAAACATGGATCACCAGTGTGGTTGCAGAATAAATGCACTTATGCGTCCTCTCTATGACAATACAAAGTCTGTTGTTTTAACAGAAAAACATTAACATAATTTGGAATTAATATTAAGAATTTCACTTTTGAGTTTTACCAGTTGTCATAATGTAGAGCCTGTTAATTTATATTATGATAAATCATATAAAAAAAAAAAATCAATAAACTAGACGAGTAAATGACTAAAATAAAACATGCTTGTGAGCTGACATTCTCTTGATTTGTACTTTTAGGTGAAAGAACAATAATTATGATACAATGTAAAAAAAAAAACCTCAAATGACAACAATCATAATCAGTAATCAAGATTACAATTTTGACTAAAATATGACTCGTTTTCATTGACTATAACTTGACTAAAAAAAACAGGACAGGACAGGTTGACAAAATATGAAAACTGAAAAGGACATTTGGCACAAAACTTAAAAAAAAAAAATAGCTTACAAAATTACCACTAGATGGTTCACATGTAGGCAACACTGGCTTAGTCCGTTGTTTAACAGTCCAAAAAGAAACGGATAAGACGAAACAAACTTCTGCAGATCATAATAATAGATGCCCATGTTGATGAGTGCTAGCTTGTGTTAGTTTAAAAGAGTACAAAGATGAAATTTTGTAGTGTGCATGTGTCGACTGCCCCTGTTAGCGCACACTATCAAATGGAGGACACTGAGTAGTTGTCTTCATTATTTTGTGCTTCTTCATAAAGGACTACTATATTTCAATTGTATGTGTTGATATAAGTTTGTTCTGCTTTGTTCAACATGTGCCACGAAGAAATGATGCTAAGGTATTGCTGGGTGGCTGAATGGGTAGAAGAGCACATCTACATGTCTCCATGACATTCTGTTATCTAGATATAGCCAAAGACCCATGGTTTTGTATTTTTGCCCATTTTCTAGTCTTTATATTAACAAAGTAGTAATAGCACACCTTAACAAGCCTCACAATTTTAAGTTATTTGTGTCATCATCAATGGTTAAAATGGAAAATATTGCACTGTTTAAAATATGAGAGTCCATACTTTTCATATATAAACCACACATGCCTAGATTACATACTTCAGTGAGATACAGAGAAAGACTTTCAAGTCCAGCTTGTTTTATTCAAGTAATATTTTATATTGATATACATTTCATATTTTACATATGTAGCACCTTGTAATTAGAAATAATCTGGTTTGCCAGTAGTAATGCCATAAAATCCAGGATACAATCATCTGGATTGAATTTCTGAAGGATAACGTGTGTTCAAAGATTATCATTGCACATTGTATTGGGGTTTCCCTTCACAACATCTTTTTTAATTTTTTAACAATACATTTTTACCATGTTATTCCTTGGTTCTCGACTCAAAAATAGGTCTTAGGTCTGTTCTGAAATGACTGCAGACAGTGCTAAATGCAAAACTAACCATATAATTGTGCATGCATAATATACAGGCCTATCAACTTTTAAAGGAAAAGGGACTCTTTCCATTTATTGTCGTTGACATCATTGGTTGTGCCCCCATCAACATCTGTGCTGTAAATGAATCTGTCATTTTCTAGATGTAAATAGGATATGGGTCATTCCGTGTCAAATCAACCAAATTCCGGAAACTTCCCCGGCTCATATTTTTAATTTTGTTAATATTTTTTTCTGCAGAAATACAAAGATAAATAGTGATGAAAGCCAAAATATTAAATGTCATGGATGTATACTTACTGAGTAATTCACTATTTTGTAGGGTGGTCAAAACGACCATTTTCACCTGAGATTTGGAACCAAATTACAGGGGGGTAAAATGACTTTAGAAAGTTGGCAGCATCATTATTTTGGTAGGTCTATTAGTTAAATCTGTTGACTCTAGT